AAACTTACTAAATCCTAATGGATGCGAGTGCAGTACATCGACCCAAGGGGACTTGATATGAAGCACTTCCTTCTAATTGTGCAAGGGAAGAGAGGGAAGGAGTTATGATCTGTGACTGAGATATCCGACTGACCAAAGGTCCAAGTCCGAAGATGTCCAATGCAAATGGGATACCGATGGTACACCCAATGTGAGATACCAATGAGGAACACCGACGCAAGATACTGATGAGGGATACTAATGCAAGATGAGAAGTCCGATGATGACAGGAGTGGCAGGTAAGGCTAGGCCAAGGTAGGAGAGTTAGGTATAACTAGGTATGACAAGGTAAAACTAGGTATAGGTTGCTGAGGCAAGACTACCAGTAGCAGTCCGGATCTTACAAAGGCCTAGGTATAGAAACCTTAGATAGCGTACACTTAGAGTGGTCAAGGCACGTCCGATGATAAGAAGCAAGGGATCAATTGCACAATCAAAGACTAACTAAGGTGACTCCTACAATGGTAGCAGGTACAGTGGCTCAAAAACCATCCGTATGTTTTGGCATTTTTCACTATCTATAATATTGTGTGAGAACAAACAAATGCCTCAAAAACATGCTTATACCACATTGTAGTATGGCTTCAGGGCTTTCATTTGAGCCCTACACCGTGGAATCGGTGGAGATATGGTGGAGATACAAGGCTCACAAAATGGTGACTCATGCGGACAGTTTTTTGACTCAAGTATTTTACAGTAATAACCAGGTATTCTAGTATTTGTATGACCTCCCTTGGCTTTAATTACTGCCTCTATCCTTCTAGGCATACTCTCAATTAATTTCTGGCAATCCTCAGCTGTGATCTTCCCCCATTCCACTGCTACTCTCTCCCAAAGCTCCCATACTCCTTTAGGGGGGTCTTCATAGGCTTGAAGCTTTTCTTGAGTGTTCCCCAGAGATGTTCAATGACATTGACATCAGGAGACTGTGCTGGCCAGTCAAGAACATTGATGTTATGTTCTTCAAACCATCCCTAGCTCTTCTGGATGTGTGCTTGGGATCATTATCCTGTTGGAAATGATATCTTCTTCATCAATCCCTGATTCTGCCAAGCTAGGCAGCAAGTGGTCTTTAAAATGTCCACATACTGCTCAGCATTCATCTTCCCCTCAACCTCAGCAAGCATTCCCACACCATTCCATCCCATACAGCCCCATACCATTAAAGAACCTCCTCCAAACTTGACAGTCCCATTAACCTCTCTGTCTGTTAGGCCATCTCCCTTCTTTTTCCATACATACACCTTCCCATCTGACCCAATCCTATTGATTTTGGTCTCATCTGACCATATAACATGCTTCCAGTCCTCTACAGTCCAGTGTTGATGAGCTAAGGCAAAGGCTAGTCTTCTCTGCCTATGTTTGATGGAGAGAAGAGGCTTTTTCTTCTTTGTTACTGCCTTGAGATGAGCTGCCTTGAGAACATTCCTCACAGTTTGTGAAGAGACAGGGGTAGTGATGGTGGAATTGATATAATGGGTGGCTTGGACAGCATTATCAGCCTTTCCTGTAGTGATATGTTGGATAATAGCCCTTTTGTCAGTAGAGGTAAGCTTGGATGGACGTCCTCCACAAGAGTTTTCCTTGTCTGGGTGGCTTTCTTTGATGAACTTGACCACAGTGGACTTGCATATTCCAGTTCTAGAGGAAATTTGGCGAGCAGAGAGGCCAGCATAAGACAGAGAGAGGATATTATCTTTGAGCAGGGATGGCTTTCATGGTGATTATGACTATGATACATGAGATATTCTGGTTTATATAGTTAGATATAGTCATAAAATAAATAATGACACCACTTTATAATTTATATAATAGTGGCATGATTTTTATGGTGTCATAAATAATGATTATATAGTTTTAATATACACTCAAAAAACTGTCCACATGAGTCATCATTTTATAAGCCTTATATCTCCACCATATCTCCGCCGATTCCCACGGTGTAGGGCTCAAATAAAAGCCCTGAAGCCATACTACAATGTGGTATAAGTATGTCCTTGAGGAATTTGTTCATTCTCACACAATATCATAGATAGTGAAAAATGTCAAAACATGCGGACAGTTTTTTGAGCCACTGTATGTCCGGAGAAGGGAAGTAAGTGATAATATGAAACTTGAGTCCTATTTATCTAACTACATGAATGTCCAAAATTGCACAGGCAAGAGTAGTAGCGAACACAGGGTATTTGGATCAATATGTAATAAGGCTTGCGAGTGCTGTGGCCATGAGAATACATGTGATAACGCCTGCTGTTCATTCAGTAATGGTAAAATAAGCTTAAAACACACCAATGGAGATAGGCGGACATGGGCAGGACATGGGAGGATTTGGTACCGACGGGACGGAATGGTTGGCCGAGGTGCGCGATGACCAAAATGATAAGTAAGGGATAGTACAGGCAACCCTGGCCCTGCAAGCAGCTGAGGCAACAGGTCCGTATCGGCCGAGTTGGACATAGTCCGCTGCGACATGGAAGGGTCGAGTGAGTCAAGGCTTTGCAAGGAAGTAATGTATGGATGCGATGTGGACTTCTAGGATGCTTGACCTCTATCGTAAAAAGGGGTTCTGCAAGGCTAGCCCGAGTTTGAACACCACAATAGCAAGGGATATTTGGGCCTATCCTCTGGTTCAGGCGAGTTGAGGGAGATATCATTGGGTTCTAGTCGTGGAATGCTTTGCTGCATTGTATTGAGATGGGTGATGAACGGGTGTTGGTAGCAGTGAAGGACAGCAAGGTCAGATGGTTGAAAATGGGTTGAAGAAGTGGATGATGGCACCTGGGGAAGTTGAGGGCAAGGGGGGCATGAAGACGAGAGTCAGAGGCATCACTTGGGCTATCCCAGCCTAGATATTCATCATCACAGAACATATATAAACCAGAATTATCAGCTCGCGCAGGAGGATCATCATCCTTATAGGCTGCGTCATCCATGATTTTGCCTGGCTTGAGGTCCTTGTTGAGAGGACCTGCATCTCCTCCCTCGTCATCCTCACAATCTGCATCATCCAGAGCAGTCTCTTTCCCTTTCCCTTTGCCAAAGACATACATTGCCTCAGTGGCAAAATCTTGGCCTGGGTCGGTGGTTGAATATGACATATTATAGGTGGGGTTGGTTCTCCACCACCCATGGAGATCAACCCACCACAGGAATGTCTGAAAGAGGCAATCTACAAGATTGTTAGAGTGTATGCCTGCAGAGAAAGAGTGTACTGACCAAGAAGAGTCCTTGTTTCTCATTCTCATTGAGCCCCTCAAATGACAATCCAGCACCAGTCTGACCAAGTTGTAGATTGATCTCATTATACTTTTTGCGTAGCCTAAGATACGTTGTTAGTAGCCAGGTCAGCACTGAAGGACATGGGAACACTGGTAGCAACTCATGATGTGAATTGGCCTTGAATGGGCTTTACAAAAGTGAGAGGGTGTGCTTGATAGTATTCCATGACCTTTGGGTCTTCATTGTCTGTGAAAACAGATGCTGTGAGCTGCTGCATGTAGGTATTCTTCTGGGTGGTCATTTGCTGATGTGTGCACCCTTCCTCCTTTGCATCCTTGGCAGAATCGAAGAATATTTTCAGTCGAGCATCTTGATTGATTTTGCACCACTCGATAAGGCAAATGGTGTGTGGGCTGTTTTTTCTCCCAGTGTATAGTAGGCATCTTGAGTGCTGATCCAGTGGCAGGTAGGCTGGCACTGGTAGAAGCAGAGGAATCAGCAATCAGTCCATGGCCACCACACTTTGCTTGACGACCTTGAGATCCACATCCACAACCAGTCGCAACTCCTGCCATGATACATTGTGGGACACAGTGAGGAGCCACATCTAGTGTAGATGCATTCTACTGGTAAGTCCAACATCGCGGTACATCAGAGTTCAGAGCTGCTGAAATTGCTGTGTAGTGCTGAATTTTTTTCACAGTTGGACGTTTCTGAAGGTTCGTAAATTTAACTTCAAGACCCATTAATGATAGTGATTCCAATAATGTTGACTTACTGGCAACTTCCAGCAGCAACTTCACTCAGAGTCATAATTCCAACATTGATGGACTGACAACTCCCATGCAGGTGGTATGGTGGCCAATCATTAAGGTTGAGTTTATTACTTCCTGCTCAAATCTCTTGAAGTACCACTGTACCAAGACAGCAAAAAAAACCCCTTTTAATATTGGCGAAAATTGGATCACATTTTGTAACAGGTAGAAAATCATGTACTGTTTTCCCGAATGTGCATCAGTACAATCCAATATTTAGCAAATTCAACTAATTTGTTAACTGGGCCACAGAATTTGCGAAGTGAGGGAAAATTGTTGGGTACACTGGCAGTACTAGTAGTCGTTTTCTTGAATATGCGACCAATAATCTTATAGCATATGATTATACTGATTTACATATACCGTGAGCAGCAAGTTGGACTTCCAACAGATGAGCCTTATCACCTCCTCACAACTGCTTGATTTCAGCGTCCCAACGATCTGCCATGAGTCTACACATGTAATTTTGAAAAGACAGTTAGAGGGGCTGGAGTTTGACAGTATGGTGGTGAACAGGAGTTCCAGGTATTTCCGTCCCAAGGGGTAGCGCTAATCCTGGATTCCGGCAATGGAATCTGCAGATCAATGGTTTTCTAATTCTTGTCACCTGGTGAAGAAATCTGCTGACATGATGATGTGATCAACAATGACTTACTTTTTGATGGGCGAAACTCGTTCCCATCTGCTGGCTTATCTGATTCACCAAAGTCCAGGGAAGACACAAACAGATGATAGTGACAGAGATTGAATCGACATTGTGAAAATTTTCGCACCATGACTGAACCATGAGAAACCACCTGTCAATGCCTAGACATACAGTCCGTGTCCTTGCCATTGAATTGTGTACCGTACATTTAACTTAAATACAGTTACATATGCATCTCGGTCAGTGAAGTTGTTAACAAAAAATGTGCTACACTGATCTAATACATTACTTGTAGTCCATTCATGTGGAGCCACAGCTCCAAATTTGGGTATTAAGTGGATGGAGTGTCGAACATTGCGGATAGGAATAATGCTGGATTGCCTATTACCATCATGAAGGGCATGCGAAACCTTATACATCCCATGGTTGATGTATGGTGTGGCAGAGAACAGTGTGAACCATTCCACATAAGTGAGGTGATCAGGCACATTGATATTGCAAAATAAAGCATGTTTGACATTGGCTGACAGTGAAAAGACCACACAAACTTGTGTGACACGATATCCTGTGAGTGGTTCATCAGTCAAAGTGTCCCCAGATCTACACATCAACACAATCACCTTCCACACCCAATTTCCCACCATTGCCCAGATTTACGAGTGCAGTGTTGAACTTCGCCGGAACTCTCCTGTTATGGTGGTCGTGTCGGGCAGGTCTTGCATGTATCATGTCAATGGTGACATTGTTTAC